GGATGGAGGCTGCTGGCGGTCCAAAATTATCACGACCTCAGTTCGCCCTCCGTGAATTGTCGTGACGACACCTAGTCTCTACGACTAGGTAAGCCTAACAAATGTGGAACATAAATGAAAGTTGTGGAAGAAATAATCAAAACCAAAATAACTGAATGGAAACAATAGTTATAATGCCGCTCGGCATATACAACGCAACATTCTCAAAACCAAGTACACTATCCTAATACCCGAAAACTCACGAAAACACAAGTCTTTGGAATATCTAATAGTCTAACTCTAGAATATCTAACAAGAAAGAAAATACATAAGGGTAATGTTTAACAACTAGAATAGAAAGAGACTTCTCGGTTTGCGGACGCGGCAAATGTACCTCGAAGTCTCTATAGCAGTCGCCTCCCTCAAGGATGGTAGTCCTGAGTAGCGGTACCTGGATCTGTACATGAAAAACATACGCAGGAGAGGCATGAGTACACCATAACGGTACTCAGTAAGTGCCAAGCCTAACCTGGTTGGGTAGTGACGAGGAAGGTCAGGGCCCTACTGAGGTTAAATAAAATAATAAGGTCAATAGTATAGAACAGAACATTATAAATAAGTACAGTAGTGAAATAACACAAGATGTATAGGACAACAACGACCATACAAAAACAAGGTAAACACAGAAACGAAATACAGCTCAGCACCAATGATAACTATTGGGGATCTCCCAGGATACCGTCCTGTAGTCCCATATGTACATATCCAATGGATCTCCCGGGATCCCATCTCGTAGTCCAACTCATAGTGCGCGAGGATCTTCCGGAATCCCGTTTCGTAGTCCCAAATATAAATACCCAGTACTGGGAGAATCTACCGGGTGCATTCCCGTAGTTACATATAACTGTGCAGGGGGATCTACCGGAATCCCACATCCGTAGTCCCAAAATAAACAGACAAGGGGGAGCTACCGAAATCTCTCATCCGTAGTCCCAAAATAAATACACAGCAACAATAGGAAAATATACAGAAATGGCAATATTTTATATTAAGGCAACAAATGATTCTAGCCTAGCATGCTGCACAGAATTCAAGTAAGGCAGGTTGAACAAATAAAGCAATTAAGTCAGTTAGACATGTTTTCTTAAGCTAACAACAGGCTTAATAATGCAAGTAATAGAAACAGGAAAGGAAACATGCTAGTAATTATTTAAAGAAAACCAGATTTCCAATAATTAGCACAAGTACGCACTCGTCACCTCACGTACAAGGCATTTCAATTACCAAATATACCAATCCTAAGGGGAAGGTCCCCTACACAAGGTTAGACAAGTCACTTACCTCGAACCGGCTAAAAAATCAATTCGAAATCATGCTCTTGCCACGAGTACTCAACTCTAAATGGCCCAAATCTATTCAATTCAATTTCATAATATAAATAACACTTCAAGTTACTAATTCTACAATTAAATTTTAAGCTAATACGCGAAATTAGGTAAAATGATCAAAACACACTCGGGCCCACGCCTCAGAATCGGGTAAAATTTATATTTTCAGAATCCTCACGCCCTCACGAGTTCATGCATACCAAAATTATCCAAATCTAAGGTCAAATTCCCAATCAAAAGTCGAATTCTAGGTCTAAGAACTTTTTTCCAACTTTTCCCCTATTTTCATCTCCAATCCGAAATTAAATGATGAATTCATGTTTGGATTAATGGGTTACAAGAAAAAAGGAGTTAAGAATCATTTCCCAATCAATATCTCTGAAAATCCCTCAAAATCTCGCTCAAATCCGAGCTCCCAAGCTTAAGTTTTGATAAAAATGGCTAAACCCTCGATTTTGAACTTAAACATTCTGCCCAGGCGCGTTCTTCTTCGCAAACGCAATGAACTAAAGTTCCACTGGCCAGTCTCCCTCTTCGCGAACGCGATGCCTGAGTCGCGAATGTGATGCACTAAAGTTCCACTGGCCAGTCTCCCTCTTCGCGAACGCGATGCCTGAGTCGCGAGCGCGATGATCATTTCTCTCCTCCTACGCGAACGCGAGACTGGCTTCGCGAACGCGTAGGCACAAAGTCCCACAGCCTTGCGAATGCGAAAAGTTAATTCCTCACCATCCCCAACTCCTCTTCGTGAACGCGAGACCCCACTCGCAAACGCGAAGAAGGAAACCAGAACTGGGCTGCTGCAATTTTCTGCAATTTCTCTAAGTTCCAAAATGACCCGTTGAGCATCCGAAACACACCTGAGGCCCCCAGGACCTCAACCAAACCTACCAACATATCTCCTAACTTCGTTCAAACTTGCTCCAACCTTTGTAACGCTCAAACAACATCAAAACACCTATTTTTCATCGGATTCAAGCCTAAGAATTCCAAAAACTCTAAAAATACGCTTTCAATCCAAAAGTCTATCAAACCTCGTCCGAATGACCTGAAATTTTGCACACACGTCACATTAAACACTACGGAGTTACTCCAACTTCTGGAATTCCATTCTGACCCTCGGATCAAAATCTCACTATCAAACCGAAAACTTCAAAATTCAACTTTCGGCATTTCAAGCCTAAATTAGATATGGACCTCCAAAACACAATCCGAACATGCCCCTAAGCCCAAAATCACCCAACGAAGCTAACGGAACCATCAGATTTCCATTCTGAGGCCGTATTTACAGTGTTCCAACTACGGTCAACTTTCCAACACTTAATCTCTCATTTAAGGACTAAGTGTCCCAAAACTCTCTGAAACTTAAAACCGAACAACCCGGCAAATTAAAATAGAAAAAATAAACTCAGGAAAAGTAGTTAATACGAGATTGGGGCGTAAATTCTTAAGACGGCCGGTCGTGTCATCACAAAAAAGGGGGAAGGTATACGGGCTTCCTACTAACAAATTCCATCGCTATAAGTGTGGAATGCAAGGAATAGGGACTTCCTTGCAAGGCGAGCAACTTGATGGGGAGAGCCTCTCCGCTATGCGGGAGACTGTGACAAAGCTCACATCCGAGCTAGAAGCGGCCAAGGAAAGAGAAAAGCTTAGAGATGCTCAGTACATTGATATGCAAGCTCAGTACCATGGCATGCAAGAGTAGCTCAAATCTCTTCTAGCTTCTGGAGGTTTTTTGATTCCCCGGTCTCGTGAGTCATCGCCAGTGGCTCGACATGAACGTGAGCGTTCCTTCCGTCCTCCCCGTGCTCGTTCCTTCCGTCCTCCCCGTGATCGCTTTTCCCGTCCTCGACAAGTAGACCCTTCTGTATACCGTCTTGTTGATAAAAGTTCATCAGACGGTGATGATAATGATGTTGTACAAAACACTCCTTGACTTTTATATACGTTAAACTAGACAAATAGAACCGGTTTTGAACTAGGTGTAATAAGTGTTAACTTAGTTTTGTTAGTTTAATTTGTAAGTTCTATTGAACTTTAATTTGTTGGTTTTAATGTGTTTTTTGAATTGTGGTGTTGTTGTTGTTGTTGTTGGGTTGTTGTGGAGATTTTGGTATAGAAATTGTAGTTTATGAATTGAATTATATTGTTATTTAGGGATTTTGGTATGTTTCCAGGTGGTGTAGCTGCCAAAACATGCATTTTATCCCAAAATTATTACCCAGAAAAGCGACCAAAGTTGGTCGCTTACCCATTAAAAAAAATTCTTGAAATTAGCGACCAATGTTGATCGCTTATATCTAAAAAAATTAAAAAATTAAAAATTGGCGACCAAGGTTGGTCGTTAATGAACCCAGATTTTATTAAAAAAAATATCCTGGGAATTACCGACCAAGGTTGGTCGCTTATGTATAAAAAAATTAAAAAATTAAAAAAAAGCGACTAAAGTTGGTCGCTTATGACCCAGATTGTTAAATATATATTTTTTAAAATAATATATATTTTAATTTACAGACCAATGTTGGTCGCTAATTTTTGATATATAATAATTTAAAAAATATCGTAATTTAAATGTACAAACCAACGTTAAAGCCATTGCGCGCTAGCCCCTTGTCTTGTATAGGGTGGAAAACCTGCGCACCCCTAAACTACAAGCTTTCTTTGAAGGTTCTCTATTGATTCAAACACTGTACCTAACCTATGGGATAGGGATCGAGGAAGGGGAAAAACCGAAGATTTCACATGGTACTTTTATCAATCTGATTTATTTCGTACCTTTCGTTCAATGAGAAAATGGGTCAGTTGGTCGCTAAATTTATATTATTAAAATATTGTACCTCCCAAAGTTGGTCGGTATTTTGTTTACAGTGATTATTTGGTCATTTTACCTTAGCAACCAAAGGTAAAAGGACCACCAATATAGCTACCAAGCCTGTTTGGACGCGTTTTGGTCGGTATATTGAGATAAGCGACCAACGTTGGCTGCTATATGTGGTCGCTTTTTACCGAATTTCTAGTAGTGGTTGAGATGTAATTGTAGCAAGCTCATAGGTGTAAAATATCATATGGCTATAGTTATTTTTTCTATGGACAATTATATTGAGATTGGTTATACAATTATCTCTTGTGTATTTATTCTTTTCTTCTTTTCCTCTTAGTTCATTTCTAGTTAGTTAGTATTGTTAATAGCTGTTTGTTGTTATTAGTTAGTGGTGTTGTTATTAGAGTTAGTGGACAGCTGTTGCCAGTTGTCAAGCAAGTGAGTGAGTGAGAGAGTTACGTGTATATATAGAGTGTTTGGACATTTTTATAAGGCGGAATATTCATTTATATTTTCCCAATTATGCTTCATAGATTTCTCGAAGCTTCTTATCTCTTTCTTCTCTCTTAGCTAGGGTACTGCTCTTCCTCTATTGGAGCTCATCTGAGCTCGATTTTATCTCGTTCATTTGTGATTTTGTTATGGTATCAGAGCGGAGGTTGTAATCTCTAGCTCAATTTCGGTTTTGATCCAGAAAAATCAAAGTTCAACGCTGTTTCATTTTGAGGTCCGAGGTCAGCCCTAAAGTTGAGATCGACATAGAAATCGAGTGATTGGGTTTCATCTGCGCATACACATCGATTAAAATCATGGCGATTGAGGAAAATACATCGGATTCCACTAATCCGCTACTTGATTTAACTAATCAACTTTACATGCATCCATCTGAAAATCCAGGTTCCATGCTTGTACCAGTAGCTTTTGATGGACCGGGGTACAGGTCATGGAGGCGAGGAGTACTTAGGGCTCTTTCTGTGAAAATAAAGTAGGTTTCATAAATGTTAAGTGTGGGAAACTAGACTCAAAGTATCCTACTTTTGATCAATGGGAACAGTGTGATAATGTAGCGACTTCATGGATTTGGAATTCTCTATCAAAGGACTTAGCAGACAACCTGCAGTATGTAAATGATGCCAAAGAGCTTTGGCAAGATCTGGAGGACAGATATGATCAAACCAATGGGGCAAAACTATATCAGTTGCAGAAAGAAATCAATAATTTGAGTCAAGGAACACTCGACATTACTGGATACTATACTAAGATGAAGAAGTTGTGGGAAAAGTTGAATATCTTGAATGCCCATGCTCAATGCAAATGCTAGTGTACATGCGGTGCCAAGGCGATGCATAAGGCTGAGTAGGACAGGAGGTTAATTCAGTTTCTAATGGATTAAATGAAGTTTACACTGTTGTCAGGGGAAGCATTTTGATGATGAACACCTTACCTTCCTTAGCACAAGCATTTGTGATTCTCATCCAAGAGGAGAAACAAAGGGAGATGAAGCCAAATAATCAATTGATGATTGACTCCAGTGCTTTGAGTGTGAACAGGGCAGCAAACAACAACTTCAGAACCAGTTATGGTCAACAAGGAAATAAATCTGGAGGGAGTTCCTACACAAACTACAACCAGTCAAGTGGGACTTGGGGCAATAGCTTCAGGGGACATTACCCTACAAATAGATCACGACCAGTCTGTAATTATTGCAAGAAGCCAGGACACACTAAGGATAGGTGCTATAATAGCTCCATGGTTATCCACAAGACTCCAAGTTCAATAAGGGAAAATGAGTAGCTGCAAATGTGTTTGGAAATTATGGTGACAAGGTTGCCGGTATAGGAGATGGGGAAAGGCTGCATACTCAAGAAGAATGATGAGTGACGAAAAATTTAACCAAAGAGCAGCATAATTAACTAATCAGCATTCTAGAAAACTTTCAGACTAGAAGTGCAGAAGACAGTTCTTAGATGAAGGCTGGGTCAGTAAATTTTGCAGGTATTTCAGTTTGCTCTACTTTTCTTGATTCTAGTGTTCATTCATATGAATGTTTTAAACCAAATGCTGACTCTTGAATACTTGATTTCGGGGCCACAAATCACATGACATACAACAAATCCATTCTAACTAATATCAAAACCTTAGTTTATCATTTTCTGGTCACACTGCCTAATGGATATAAAGTGAAGGTGACAATAGTAGGTGATGTGGTTTTGAGTTCTAAATTCACCCTCAAATAAGTTGTTTTTGTACCCAGTTTCAAATTCAATATAATATCTATCCATTGTTTGACAGTTCAGTTTGATTGTTATGTCATCTTTACCAAATTTTCATGCATTCTTCTGCAGGACCCTTCACTGAAGAGGCCTATGGATATTAAGGCCTGATGGCCTATACTATCACATTTCAGAACTCTGCAAGAATGTTGCAATCCTTACTCAAATTCCTACTCAAGTTTCATCTAGTATACCTGATGAGAATAATGTACACCCTCATTCACATCTTGTTCCTCCTGTTGCATCTAATTTTCCTGTTTCATATCATGCTTGTAATAAGAGGCATGTTAATTCACATAAACACTCTAGTATTAATATTTCATCCTTAAGTGGTAAAGAAAATTTTTCTTTGTCAAATACATTTACCTGTGTCTCTACTTTCACATCTACATCTGATAGAAACATGGTTGAACTTCTGTGGTAAAATAGACTAGGACATGTCCCCTTTGCCAAGATTAAGGGAATTAATGAGATACCTGTTAAATTTACACCTACACAACCTTTTCTTTGCCCTATATGCCCAATGACAAGGCAAAACAGACTACCTTTTCCAGAAAAAACCATTTTTACAACTAAAATCTTTGAAATATTACATGTTGATTTGTGGGGATCATATCACATTGCATCTCATGATAGACACAACTATTTCATCACCTTTTAGATGATTACAGTAGGTGTACATGGACACATCTGTTGAGTTGTAAAAGCAGTGCTCTACAAACCATAAAAGCTTTCTTTTCTATGGTGAAAACTCAGTTTAACACCTCTGTCAAAACTATAAGAACAGATAATGGGACCGAGTTCTTCAATTTAGGAGCTACCTATTTCTTTCAATCTTAGGGAGTTACTCACCAAAGAACCTGTCCATACACACCCCAACAAAATGGGGTAATGGAGAGAAAATATAAGTATTTGCTAGAAATAACAAGAGCATTGTTGTATCAATCAAAACTACCCTTACAATATTGGGGAGAGTGCATTCTTACCTCCACTTACATAATAAATAGATTATCTTCTTCTTCTCTCAAAGGCAAATGTCCTCCTGAACTACTCTATAAGAAAAAGCCCTCCTATTCACATCTTAAGAGTTTTGGTTGCCTATGTTTCCCTACCACACTTAAGACTTATAGGGACAAGTTTGAGGCTAGAACTCTGCCTCATGTGTTTGTGGGGTATACTTTGGGAAAAAGGGCTATAAGGTGTTAAACCTAGTCACAAAGAGGATCCATATTCAAGAGATGTAGTCTTCCATGAGGATGTCTTTCCTTTCACCTTGCTTTCTAAGTCAAACAAAGTTTTTCCTTCATTCCCTCAAGTCAATACAAATTTAGCATCTGATTTCTTTCCTCCCAGAGAAACAGTTTCAAACCCATCAAACCAACATCACAATACAATGTCACCTGAACCTTCACATAAGCAGTTTTCACCACAGTCCAACTCCAACAAGACACAGTTCACAGAGTTCAACCACAGTGAACACTTGTCACCTAATAATAAATACCAAAAATCTTCACCCAAAACATATAGTCCAAGCAGTGCAGGCCAACAAGAACATCATTTAGGCCCCACACAAATTAGACCTTCTAGAACACACAAAATTCCTACATACCTAAAAGACTATAACTACTCTCTTCCTAAGCTACATGACCTACAACATCAATCTTCTCCACAGAATAATTTCTCAAATGACAGTAACTTTTCTCTCTTTTTTTGCCACTTATGTACCCAATGCACAATATATCTCTCTTAATGTGTTGTATTCTGATAGTCAGCAATTGGTAAGAAATATTTCATATGAATGTGAACCTAGTTCATTTGAAGAGGCAGTTGTAAGCCCTGCATGGCAGTCATCCATGAATCAAGAGTTTGAGGCTTTGATTGCTAACAATGCATGGAGTCTTGTACTGCTGCCAGTTGGTAAGAGTGCAATAAGGTGTAAGTGGGTATATAAAATAAAATACAAGTCTGATGGTAATGTGAATGGTTTAAGGCTAGATTAGTAGTAAAGGGATATACACAGAAAGTAGGGATAGATTACACAGAAACATTCTCACATGTTGTAAAAATGACAATTGCGAGGGTATTAATAGGAACTATTGTAAAGAAGGGTTGGAAGATGTTTCAATTAGATGTAAACAATGCCTTCCTTTATGGAGATCTACATGAGGAAGTATACATGGAGGTACCTCAGGTCCTAGTAGTAGACAAGCCAGGTTTAATATGCAAGTCGAATAAATCTCTATATGGACTCAAGCAAGCAGTAGACAATTGTATGAGAAATTGATTGCAGCTTTATGTTCCAAAGGATACACACACTCATTGTTGGACTACTCATTATTTCACAAAAAGAATGGACCTTTAGTGGTGTTTGTGGCTGTATATGTAGATGATATTGTAATAGGGACTCACCAGGAAGAGATTGATTCTTTGAAGAGTTTCCTGCATGAAACTTTCAAGATAAAAGATTTAGGAAGGCTACACTACTTCTTAGGAATGAAAGTACTCTACAAGGAAGATAGAGTGCTGATATGCCAAAGAAAGTTTACTATGGATCTGCCGAAAGAGTTTAAGTGTGCTCAATATTCCAGCCGAACATCACCCCTTGATCCCTCTACAAAGCTGAAGGCAGATCAGAGTCCAATGTTGATTGACCCTTCCAATTACAGAAAACTGGTAGGGAAGCTGAACTTCTTGACAAATACAAGGCTTGATATATCCTACAGTGTCCAACATCTTAGCCAATACATACAGTCACCTAGAGAAGCTCATTTGAAAGCTGCATACCATGTTTTGAGATATTTGAAGGGTGATCCAAGCCCGGGGATATTCTTTTCTAACAGCAAGGAAAATGGGATAAGAGCCTTATGTGACTTAGATTGGGCAGCATGCCTTGAGACTAGAAGGTCAGTCAATGGTTACATTGTGCTGCTTGGAAACAGTCCTATTAGTTGGAAATCAAAGAAACAGTCCACCATATCTTTATCTTCAGCTGAAGCAAAGTATAGAGCAGCTAGACAAGTTGTGGGTGAACTTGTTTTGTTGGTTGCACTTCTTGAATAGTTAACTGTACCCATGAATCTTCCCATTCCAGTATTTTGTGACAGTCAAACTGCCTTGCAAATAGCCAGAAATTCAGTATGTTATGGACGCACAAAAAAACATAGAAGTTGACTGCCACTTTGTTAGAAATTCAGTATGTTATGGACGCACAAAAAAACATAGAAGTTGACTGCCACTTTGTTAGAAACAAGCTACAAGAGGGACTAATTTCTTTACATCATGTATCTACCAACGACAACTCACAGACATTTTTACTAAGTCCTTAACTGGAATCAAACATTCAGACCTATTCAGCAAGTTGGTAGTGCATTCCTCCTTTTCAACTTGGGG